AGTATGACTTGTGACTAATTCATGCATCTTTGGGCCACAGTTTCCTCATATGAAAACCCGGGACCTGATACCTCTTCAGGAGATGCATGGGGCAGGCGTGAGAATTCCTGGAGCCTGGGGTAGAGGGCTCGCTAGGCCCCTAAATCCTCCTTACCCTGCTTCCCCGTCCCATGTCCACAGGGAGCAGCTCCCCGAGTCAGCCTATATGCACCAGCTCTTGGGCCTCAACCTCCTCTTCCTGCTGTCCCAGAACCGGGTGGCTGAGTTCCACACGGAGTTGGAGCGGCTGCCTGCCAAGGACATCCAGACCAACGTCTACATCAAGCACCCTGTGTCCCTGGAGCAAGTGAGGCGGCAAGCGGCGGGGGAGGACCTGGCCAAAGTGGGCGGTGCAGGGGTGGCCTTCAGAGGGCCTTCCTGAAGGAGTGGCCAGGGTTCTCCCATCTTTCCACCCATGGACCCATCCTCTTGTTTGTCCAACAAATACTGAATCCCAGCTGTGTGCCAGGCACTGTGGGAGGTTGTCAGACTGTGCAGTGAGCCAAGCAGGTGAAATTCGTGATCTTGTGGTGATGACATTGGGGTGCGGAAGCAGATAGTAAGCCCGAAGAGTGAGTGGCCTGTGCGGTCTGTCAGATGCTGAGTACTGTGGAGAAAAGGCAGAAAGGAGGGTAGAGAGGCAGGGACGGGGTAACATTTATCTCGGGGAGTCAGAAGGCCTTACTGAAAAGGTGAAATTGGAGAAAGACTTGAAAAGGGTGAGGAACTGGCTCATGCCTGTAATCCCAGCACTTTGGGAGGCTGAGGCAGGAGGACAGCTTGAGCCCAGGAGTTCAAGACTGCAGTGTGCTATGATCACACCACTGTATTCTAGCCTGGGTGACAGATTCTGTCTCTATTTAGAAAATAAATAAGTAAAAACAGATTTTTTTAAAGAAAAGGGTGACCGTGCACAGTGGCTCACGCCTGTAATCCCAGCACATTGGGAGGCCAAGGCGGATAGATCACCTGAGGTCAGGAGGTCGAAACCAGCATGGCCAACATGGTGAAACCCCGTCTCTATAAAAATACAAAAATTAGTCGGGTGCGGTGGTTGGTGCCTGTAATCCCAGCTACTTGGGAGGCTGAGACAGGAGAATCGCTTGAACCCAGGAGGTAGAGGTTGCAGTGAACCAAGATTGCGCTACTGCACTCCAGCCTGGGTAACAGAGCAAGACTCTATCTCAAAAAGAAAAAAAAGGATGAGGAACTGAACCCTGTGGACAGCCAGGCAGAGGGACCAGCCAATCCAAGTGTCCTGAGGCAGCACCATGTCTGCTGTGTTAGAGGGACAGCCGAGAAGACGGTGTTTTTGGAACAAAGGGAGCAGGGCCAGGGCAAGGCCTTAGGACCTAAGGTTGGGAAGTTGTTCCTGGAGCTGACGTCTTAGGGGAGGATGTGGTCCGTGGGGAGAGGATGGGAGACAGAGCAGTTAGGGCAGGCAGCACAGTTCATGCAAAGGTGTACAGGGATGAGCCTGAGGTGGAGCCAGCCCTGTCTCCCTCCTGGAGAATAGATGGATAATTGGACAGTAGATGAGAGAATGAGATGCCAGCCCAGAGCAGGCTTGGGGAGAGGGAGGGAGGGAGGGAGGAAGGGGGTGGGGGCAGAGAGAGAGAGTCGTGTGTGTGTGTGTGTGTCTGTGTGTGTGTGTGTATGTGTGTATATGTGTGTGTGTCTGTGTGTCTGTGTGTGTATATGTGTGTGTGTGTGTGTCTGTGTGTGTCTATGTGTGTGTGTGTGTGTGTCTGTGTGTGTGGGTGTGGGTGTCTGTGTGTGTGTATGTGTCTGTGTGTGTGTGTGTGTGTGTCTGTGTGTGTGTGTGTGTGTCTGTGTGTGTGTGTGTGGGTGTCTGTGTGTGTGTATGTGTCTGTGTGTGTGTGTCTGTGTGGGTGTCTGTGTGTGTCTGTGTGTGTGTGGGTGTCTGTGTGTGTGTGTCTGTGTGTCTGTGTGTCTGTGTGTGTGTGTGTCTGTGTGTGTCTGTGTGTGTGTGTGTGTCTGTGTGTGTGTGTGTGTCTGTGTGTGTCTGTCTGTGTCTGTGTGTCTGTGTGTGTGTGTCTGTGTGTCTGTGTGTCTGTGTGTGTGTGTGTCTGTGTGTGTGTGTCTGTGTGTGTCTGTGTGTGTGTGTGTGTCTGTGTGTGTGTGTGTGTCTGTGTGTGTCTGTCTGTGTCTGTGTGTGTATGTGTGTGTCTGTGTGTGTGTGTGTGTGTGTGCATGCATAAACCAGCAAGGGCTTTCTGGAAGAGGGGGTACCCAGGGAAGGGGTGTGGCTGTGTGGCAAAGGGTGTTCTGGCAGGGTAGGGATTACAGGGGCACTAGGAGTATGATGAGGCCCACACAGGTAGGGCCCTTTGCAGCCTCCTCTTCATTCTCTTCTCTCTCCCCTTTCCCGGTGTCTGCAGTACCTGATGGAGGGCAGCTACAACAAAGTGTTCCTGGCCAAGGGTAACATCCCCGCCGAGAGCTACACCTTCTTCATTGACATCCTGCTGGACACCATCAGGTGTGTGGGGGGCCCGGGCCCTGTGGAGCTTGGAGTTTGGAAAGAACTTGGGCTTCGGCCAGACAGCTTTGAGTCTGAATTTCATTCCAGCCACCGGTTATCTGGGCAGGCTAGGTGTGTTTCTTATCCTCCTAGCACCTCAGCTCTCCTTTCCAGTGAATTGGGCCTGGTCGTGGGATTGTGGATAACAGCCCTCATCTCACCGCCCTTGGCTGTTGACACGTGTGGCCACATGTGTCAAACCTGCGCATGGGCTTGGCTGAGCAGGCAGGGACTGTGTGGCCTGTCTTAGCCCATCTTCCGTCCTAGACACCCATCCAGTGAGTCAAGAGACTTCACCTCCGACCACTGAAACTGTGGACCCTTCAGTTTCCCCTTCTCTAGAATGGGTTGACCAAATCCCAGCAGCCCCTTGGGTTGCTGTGTGCACAAGTGACATCCCACGGGCAGGTGGATGTGACATACAAATCCCTTGAGGAGTAAAAGGGTGTCGAAGTGGTGGCCGAGCTGGTTCACTCGGGCAGAGCACCAGATCAGAATGAGTTTCTGTGCCTTAGGTGGCAAAGGCGAGCCCAGAGGCATTTGAGTGAGGAGTGGTGGCCAGTACCACTACCCACCACGTGGCCTAAGTGATGTCGGAGGCACTCCTCCCTGTCACTGGCTTTTCCCCAGAGCTAACCCCCTCCCCCACTATAGCGACTTAATTCCTTGCTCTTTTTCTACTTTGGTGGTGTTCATAGTGCCTCTTGATGGGTACAAGGAACCCCTCAGGATCTATGAAGCGGGGTGTAGCACCCTGGTGATACTTGTTTTGAGAAGAGGTGCCTCATGTGAATCCCAAGCTGGGTTTCAGACCTGAAATCATGTGGCTGGCAGTGAGATTCAGAGTGTGGGCCCAGGAGTCAGAGAGTTCAGTGGGGATCTCCTGTGGCCCTTGCTTGCTTTGTGAGTCTGGTCAAGTTTCTCCCGCTCTGAGCCTTGATGAATAAAACAGGGCCCCTCACATTCCTGCCATCAGTGCTGAACTCCAGGGTCAGAGCTGACTCGTGTCAGGTTTGGGGGAACAGGTCCTGGGTGGTTGTCGATGCTCAGTAATGAGGAGCTTCTCATCTTCCCCCAGGGATGAGATCGCTGGGTGCATCGAGAAGGCCTACGAGAAAATCCTTTTCACTGAGGCCACCCGGATCCTCTTCTTCAACACACCCAAAAAGATGACCGACTACGCCAAGAAGGTGGCTGGGGTACAGGGCAAGGGGCCATGGGACCAAGGGGTGAAATCACTAACAGTGTGGGGTGGCTTCGAGGGACACTGGAACAAGACTGCCCAGGTTTAAGTGCGTGACTCTAGGCAAGCTGCCAAAGCTCTCTGAGCCTGTTTCTCTGTCCACAGAATGGAGCTAGATACATAGGATGAGCTTAGTGCTGGCACCAGCTAGAGGTGGGCAGAGGTGGGCGCTGCACGCATGTTGGCTGCTGTCTTTATCAAAATTTCTTAGAAGTGGCAGCTTTTTCTGCAAGACTTTGCTTCATTTGGTCTCAGACGTTTGAGCACGAGCAATGCTTGGTGTTGCAATAGGAGGGCTGGACCAGGCTATGGAAGGTGAAATTGGGTGGGCGCAGTGGCTCACGCACACTGAGGTGGATCTTCCCACCTAGGCTCACTCTGGGAGGCTGAGGTGGGAGGATCACCTGAGGTCAGGAGTTCGAGACCAGCCTGGTCAACATGGTGAAACCCCGTCTCTACTAAAAAATACAAAAAAATTAGCTGGATGTGGTGGCGGGTGCCTGTAATCCCAGCTACTTGGGAGACTGAGGCATGAGAATTGCTTGAACCCAGGAGGCGGAGGGTGCAGTGAGCCGAGATCACACCATTGCACTGCAGCCTGGGCGACAGAGCGAGACTCCGTCTGGGAAAAAAAAAAAAAAAAAAGAAGGTGAAATTGAATTTGAGTGAGGGTGACAGCTGAAACTATCACTTGGGCCAAACACTATCCTCGGTGCTTTAAAGGTGTTGATTCACCAAATCCTCACAGTCGACCCAGAGAGGTGTGTAGTTAGGGTCCCAGTGTCAACACAGAGAAACTGAGGCACAGAGGTGAAGTTACTTGTCAAGAGTCGTTGGGGTAGAGTAGAGTTGGTGAGAAAAGACAGTATAGGCAAGTGCTGGCTCCATAGGGTGGGGACGGAGCCTTTGTGATCACCCTACCCATCTCTGATCCCTCCTTTCCTGCAGCGAGGGTGGGTCCTGGGCCCCAGCAACTACTACAGTTTTGCCAGCCAGCAGCAGAAGCCGGAAGACACCACCATTCCCTCCACAGAACTGGCCAAACAGGTCATCGAGTATGCCCGGCAGCTGGAGATGATCGTCTGAGCCCACTGGGCACTGGGTGGGGCAGGGCATGAGTTATTTAAAACAGTTACACTGCAGGGTTTCGTCCAATAAAGCTGGATTGACATTCCCTCTTCCAGGCCCTTGTCTCCCCAGTTGGGATGGCAGAGAGACAAGTATCTCTGAAGAACTTGGAGGTTTTGGGGCGCTCAGGGGTTGGAGATAACACCCTCCAACTGGGTAAGCCTCTGGTGGGCATTGCTCAGGGCCTCAAACACAGACGCCCACTGTAGGGCCCAGCAGCACTGTGGCCTGCAGGAGGGCATGGCCCCAGGTAGGGGGACTGTTCTAGCCAACTGTGGACACACAGGAATGCTGGGCCAGGGTACCAGATTTTTTCAACAAAGCGGGTGAAGTGTCCTATTAAAAAGAATAAATGTTGGTGATGAATTAAACAATTTTTCAAATGATATGTGAAATGGAACCCGTCTGTAGGCTGCCAGTTTGAGCCCTGTGCGGATCAAAAGGTATGGGCCCTGGTGTGGGCTTGTGGCTCCCACCCTCCCTGAGCCGGCGTGTGATTGAGGACCTCCCTGCACACCCCTCAGCCTAGGTTTCCTGCCTTGAAATTCTTGGGAAGGTGTTCAAGGCGCAGGGTCCAAATCTGGCTGAATCCCTTGTGGGATGTGGAAATTTCACAAGTGTTCCAGAGTTAGTTTTCCCAACTGTAAAATGGGAATGATCACTCCTTTGCACAGTGGTTTGTGCTGAGCCTGTGAGCTTGGTACCAGGTCAGCTCAGAATTAGGGCTTATGGATTGAGGGGAATCAGATCCCCCCTGCCCTGGGCCCATCAGTCTGGGTGCTGGGTGAATGGAACCTCAGTTACTGCTGCTCTGGTCCAGCCTCCCTTTTGTTCCCAAGATGTGCTTTAATGGCGAGCCTGCCCTGCTGTACCCTACCCACTACCTTGGCAAGTGATTGACAGGCTGCTGGCATCTGGATTGGTTATTTTATTGTCATGGAGGGGAAGGTGGAGAGTGTTGAGCCGACTGCACTCAGTTGGAATGGGTGGCCTGCAGGTCGTAGTGCTCCAGCCCAGCCACCAGGGAGCCGGCCAGCTTGATGGTGGCAACCCAGGGTGGCTCGCCCAGGTGGTTGGTGGGTGTGCTCAGCCTAGGGGGGAGGATAGAGTCAGCAAAGCCTGGCAATGTGACCAGGCCCCTAGCCCTTCTAGGGCCTCCCTGTCCCCATATGAATAAGGAAGCTTCTGAAGGCCATATTGGAATATCCCAAAGGCAGTTCAGGGCAGGGCTGTGTCCACCTAATAGGAAAGGGAGCTGAGGACTGGAGAGTGTCACAGCTAAGCCTCAAGAGGTCCAGGGCAGTCTCCCAGTGGTTCAGCACTCCCAGGAGCCAGGATGAGACCCCAGTGGCCAGATCTGGTGATTCAGTGTGGGTAGGGGGTAGCTGGAGGATGCAGTGTCCGCCTTGGATGAGAGACTCAGGAGGAGCCTCCCCAGCACAAGAGCTGTGACATCAGTGCCCTCTGGTGGCAGAAGCCTTGAGTCTCAGAGTCAGGAGAAGTTGCCAGAGGCTAGAGGGGTCAGGAGTCCAGGGCTGCCCCTGTGCCCAGTAACGTTGGAGGCCTGCATGTACCCCCATTTGGTTCCAGGAAGACAGTCATCTCACCCCCATCCCTGAGTGGCCTGGGATGTGGTCCTCCTTGATACCCTCAAGGACAGGGTCAAGGCAGTGTATAGGGTCAGGCCAGCTGGGACCAGCCTCCCTCTCTGATGGCTCCAAGAGAAGTACAGGAGGGCCAAGAATCCACTTAGGTATGGGATGCCATAGGGCTGGGCCAGGGTGTCCCCTTTCCCGTCAAAGGTCAGCATGGGATCAAGGGTCCTCTTGGTCCTGAAGGGTGGAGCTCAGCTAGGTTTGAGATGTAGTGGAGAGGAAGGACACGGGTCATTCTAGGGCCAGGAAACCAAAGGGTTGAGTAGGACTCTATCCAGCAGTCTGGGGTTGGGCACCCTCCGGTCCCTTCTCCCTTCCTCTCACCAGGCAGAGACGTTGCGTGGCAGGCGGCGATGGCGTGGCTGGTGGCGGCAGTAACACTTGCAGGGACAAGAGTTAAGCACCTGGAAGGGCGGCCAGTGGCGCGCAGCGCGGGTGTTAGCTGCCCCAGTCTGAGAGGCCCCGCTGCCACCACCCGCTCCATCGCTGCTGTCCGGCACTGTAGCTGTAGCTCCTTCACGAGGACCGTCTCCAGGCAAGCCATCCTCACGGGTTGCGCCCCGGGCTGCACGGGAACCCTTGTTCCTGCGCGTGCGGGTCTTGATGGGTGCAGCCGCGGGTGCGGGCGCGGACACAGGCGGCGAGGGCTCAGCCACGGTGGGAGCTGGGGATGGGGCTGGGGCCAGGGCCAGGGCCGGGGCCGGGGCCGGGGCCGGGGCCTGGTCGGCGGCTAAGGCTGGGGGCAGAGCAGGGGCTAGGGTGGGAGCCAGGGCTGACGCCTCGTGGCCCAGGCCCGGGGAGAGCGGGGGAGCCACCGGCAGTGGCGTTGACTGGAGCGCTGGTGGCTGCAGTGTGGGCGGCGGTGTGGGCGGTGGCGCGGGCGGCGGCGTGGGCGGTGGCAGCGGTGGTAACTCCTGCAGGCCTGGAGGCCCCGGGCGCATGGGCTCGCCAGTGGGTGCCGGGAAGATGAACATAGGCGGCGCCAGTAGGGCAGGTGCGGGCCTCCGGGGCCCGGGAGCTGAGTGCGTCTGCCCTGGTGGTGGCGGAGGGGAGCCCCAAGGCCCAGAGAGTGCGGCCGCACGCCGTCGCGACGCCCCGATGCCTCCGCCAGCCCCGTTGAAGCGGAAGTGGCGTTCAGGGCCGTCGGGAGCGCTAACCCAGTCGAATTTGGGCTTTGAGCCTGGGAAGGTGGTGTAGGGTGGCGGCGGTAGGGCCTGGGCTTGGGACGCAGGCGCCGAGGGAGGACCAGAGCACCCTTCGCCGTCTCCATCACCTCCCTCAGCTTCCTGTGCCCCTCGAGGAACCTCTCCCAGGGGACGAGCGGATCCAGGAGGCAGGGGCCCCTGCTTCAGGACCTCGGCGTAAGAGATGGGACCCGAGGCAGCAAAGAGGCCGCCGCCTCCGCCGCCCCCGAGCGAAGCTTTGGCTGCTAAGGAACTCGAAGCTGCCGGAGGGGCCAAAGAGGGCCCCGACTTGAAGGTGATTTTACACAGCAGGCTCAGGCCGGACTCGGAAGCCACAGGCTGGGCCATTTCGCCTTCGCCCGCCTGGGGAGGCGCCCCTCCGCGAGCCCTACCGGCCGTCTGGCCCTGGTTGCCCGGCCCAGCCTGGCTTTCTGTGGGGGTTGAGGCGGGTGTGGCCAGAGTAGGAGTGATTCTGCGGTCCGCCGGCTGCCGTTCAGAAGGTAATGGTGGTGGCGGCTTCCAAGGCTCCAGGGGCGGCGGAAATTGGGATGGGGCCCTCGGGACAGTGTCCTTTACGGATAGTTGCCGGGGCGGGGGCGGGGGCGGCGGCGGCGGCGGCAGCGGGCGGAGGCTCGGAGGGTCGCCCTGGCCGCGATGGCTCGCCTCCAGCAGGCCGCGGATCCGGGGCACTGGAGTGCCCGCGGGCTTTTGCCATTTAGACGGGCCGGGCAGCAGGGTCCCCGCGGGGGCTGGGGGTGGTGCAGAGACCGCGGCCGCCTCTTCAGGAGGGGACATCACTGGAGAGGGCCGTTCTAAGGTGAGGGGCAGGGTCGAGGGTGAGGCCTGGGGCTCCCGGGGTACCAGGAGTCCCGGGGGTGCGGAGCTGCCAGGGAACCAGACACCCAGCCCGCGAGTCAGGCGCATGGCCTGGGAGGTCATCTCGGGCTCCACCAGGGATGTCCGGCGGGAGTCGGGGGCGCGGTCCGAGGCCTGCTCTTTTCGGGAGCCCCCACCCGCCGATGGCTCCGACTGCACGTTCCCCATTTCTGACGGAGCTGGGAGACTGATCAGAAAAACTGACGCCAGTCAGCCTGCCAGGGCCGTGGGGACCCTATGAGGCTGGCTGTACTTGATCTAATGCGTCCGCACCGGCCCCGCCCCTGTTCTCCACGATCCGATCAGGCCCAAGTCCTTAGGTAGCACTCCTATTCCTCGACCCTCGACACTCACGCCTTCTTTTCCATGTCCCCAACACAGCTGCTGTTCAGACACTTCAGTACCTGCCCCATTATGTACTAAGGTTCCATGCCTGTCCCCTTGGCTGGTCATGCTGATCCCTCAGTCCTCTCCTCAAACTCTCTGACTCCTCGCCTCTCTCTAGATCACCTGGGTCCCGCCCTCTTCCCAGACAGCGGCAGATCCTCAGGCCTCACCCCTAAACCTCTTCCCGCGCCAGGTCTATCTACTAGCTGGCATCCACACTCAAGCTCCACCCCTGTTCCCAAGCTCCGCCCTGGCTCCGCCTCCGCCCAGAGGAGCCCACTCACCGAGTCCTCCAGCCGACCAGAGTTCAGACAGCGGCCCCCTGGGCCCGGGGCAGGGCAGGGAACTGCCGTAGCAGAAAATAACCGAAAAGAACGGGGGTGCGGGTGAAGGCAAGTGGGCGAGACAGCAAGGGCGGACCCCGAGATCTAGGCCCCGCCCCTGGAGCTCGAGGCCCCGCCCCCCTGCGAGCCCGCGGGAGCCCGGTCCCTTACGAACCTGGGTCTTCCCTTGAAATACTCCGAGGTCTTCTTCCTCGCCCCCCGGCCTTCTGGTTCTAAGCTCCACCCCTTTGGGTTGTTCTCCTTAGCCCCTCCCCTTTAGAATGCTCCGCCCCTCTCCTTATTCCCTCCCGAGGCCCCGCCCACGCGAACACCCAGGCGTCGCTCCTCCCCTTTGGACCTCTCATCTGCCCCGCCCCTGGGGCAATTTACCTCTAAGCTCCGCCTTTTTAAGACCCAGCAACATGGTTTCCCAAGACCCTCTCCATGCCCCGGCGCGCCGAGAAGGCCCATCCACCGTGGGCCCGCCCCTTCCGTGACGCACGCACTAGTCCTCGCCTTCAGCATCCAAACTTCGTTATACCCAGGCCCTCCAACCCCACCCACACGTGAAGGCTCCCCTCTCGCCCCACCCCTTATCGAACCCTGCCAGGCACTCAGCCCCTCCTATTTCGAAGCCACAGCGTAGACCACCGCCTCTTTAGAACCTTGAGACCAGTCCCTGTCCCTGCCCCTATCCCCTCCTCATAGCATTAGAGACCAATGGCGCAGATGGGTGGAAAAGTGGGGGATCCCCTCTGGATCTTAAGAAAATGGGGACTGGGGGGTTGCTCGCTAGAGCTAGTGCCGGGCTCTAGGACCCAGCAGGCAAGTAAGCCCGCCTCGCTCTTACCCCTCCCCCAGCCGCCCCTTCCCCCCCCCACCCGTCTTCCAGGTTCCCCCTCCCTCCCCCCTCGCCCCGGCTCCCGGTGCCCGTCTCCAGCGCCGCCGGAGCCAGCGAGGGAGCCGGAACGAAAAGGAGGAGGAGGAGGCCGCGTCGCCGCCGCTCGGAGCCCGGCCGGAGCCTCGCAGGCAGGTGCCGAGGGGGGCGAGGGGGCGGGGGCTGACAGACTGCCTGCCCCGATGAGGGGGCGGCCAGGACCGCGCTGCGCCTTCTGCCCACCCAGGCGCCCCCCAGGCCCCGGCTGGGAGGACTAGGGAGTGGGGACCCCTCAAACTGCGCGGCAGCCATTCGGGGTACCAATCTTCATTTGGGGGGTCTGGACTTTCTCCGAGGAAGCCCCATTCACAAAATTCCGTCCTGGACCCTCACCATTGAGGAACGCTGAGGACCACTCCCCCCCGCGGGGGACACAGGATGTGTGGGGAGCGTAGGACACCCTGAAATCCCAGTGCCCCATTCCAGTTAGGCCCTGGGGGGACCCCAGCCCTCGTTCCCTGCTTCACCTGTTGTCGGGGGAGGCGGGCGGACAAAGGAAGCAGCGTCACGTGACTGCTCATTCACAAAATCCCATCCCATTGAGAAAAGGGGGCTGGGGGCGCTGCGGCCGCCCCTTCCCCTCCCGAAGGGCCGGGGAAACCCAGCAGCCTGCAGGTGGGGGAGGGGGCTAGAGCTCGTCTGGGTCCCTAAGGTTGGGACGCCAGGGTCCCTGTGCTGGGTGGCAGTGAGGGGCTGGACACTGATCCCGATTACTGGGCGGAGGGCTACGTCCCCTGAGCTGGGGGGCGGGGTAAAATGGTTCTGAAGGATGCTGGGGCTGGGGGGCGGGAAGGGAAGAGGGAGGAAGGATCAATCTCCCCCCCAATCCCATCTTTCCCCCCGGCTTCCCTCGGCTGGGGCCTGAGGGAGCAGCCTTGATTTTTGTGAATGAAATGCTCTCTGGATGTGTCTTCGGTCGCCCGTTTCTGACTTCCTCTGCCTCCATCTCCCTCTGAGCCTCTCTTTCTGGCCATTTCTGGTTCTCTCCCTGTTCCCTGCCCATCTCCCGTTGCTGGGTGACTCAGTGAGCTTTGCATCCGGTCTCATTCATAAATCCGGGAAGGGGTGGGGGGGGAAAGAGCCTGGGTTTCTCACCCAGCCTGTGACCTGGACGACAGGGTGCGGAGGCAGGGGTGGGAGAACGGGAGCTGAGTTGATGGGCCCAGAGAAAATATATATGCGCAGGCACCCAGCTGTGAGGGGGAGCACTGGGTGGGGCTGTGGGTATGTGCTGAGGGAGGAGAAGGGGGTAATAGGGATGAGCAGGAGGGGGAGGGGAGTGCAACACCAGGGCTGTGGGGGTGGGGACGGAGAGATGGGGGAAAGGTGGGTACAGAGAGAAAGGGCAGACATGGAGAAGAAGATAGAGGTGGGAGAAAAGAGAAGGCATGAGGAAGAAAGGAGCCTTGTGGAAGAAGGTGGCCATGGGGTTGAAGGTGGGTATCGCTAGCTTAGGGTGCAGTCGACCCAGACGTGAGAGATAAAGTTGGAGGGGAGATGAGGGTTAGGGGAACATTCCATGGGAGAGGAGGATTTGAGCTCATGACTGTGTTGTCCCTGTCCTTCCCCCCACCTCCTGCAGGTACATGGTGCGGGTCCGAGCTGTGGTGATGGCCCGAGATGACTCCAGTGGGGGCTGGCTGCCTGTGGGGGGCGGGGGCCTCAGCCAGGTGAGCGTGTGTCGGGTCCAAGGGGCCAGGCCCGAGGGGGGGGCCCGCCAGGGGCACTACGTCATCCACGGGGAGCGCCTCCGGGACCAGAAAGTGAGCCACCCTGGGGCATGCGGGGAGGGTAGGGACCTGGGGAGGGAGGGGAGTGGGGCTGGTGTGTGGAGCAGAGGTCAGGGTGCCTCCCAGCCCAGAAATCAAGCTGGGGTGTGAAGTTTGGGAGTGAATATCTGTCCTGTAGATAAGAGTTGGGAATTGCAGGATACATGGGGTGTTAGGAAGGTCCAGTCCACTGCCACTTCCAGCCAGACTATCACAGCAGCCTCCTCGTTGTCTCCCTGTACTGCTCCTGCTCCCCTCTCCAGCCCCCTGTCTGGTCCACAGGGGCACTGCCTCCCCCCACCCCCCGACTCAGACCATGTCCTTCCTCTGTTCAAAACCTTCCACCTTGCTCAGAGATCCTCGCCACGAGGCCCTACACCACCTGGCCCTTGTCTGCCCTAAGTGTAGGAAAGCATTTGCTGGGGTCCATTTGAAAGTGTCAGAGATGGGTGACAATTCTATATATGGGTTTATCAGGAATAACTGGGCTGTCTGGCACAATGTGGAGGGACAGTGTTGAAGTTTCAGCTAGGGATGCAGTAGAAAGATACGGATTGTGTGAAAGGCTTGGGGGAAAGGTTTTGTTTCAGAGCAGGAGTCAGTAGGGGAATTTGAAATGGAGTGAAAGAATATGGTGATACTAAGCAAGGATTTGAGGGAACATCAATAGGGTGTTGGCTAGCATCTGAGGGGGAATCTGTGGAAGTTTAATAAGACTATTTTGGGGTAAGCACTGGATACAGTGCCTATGTAATCCCAGCCACCCATGAGGCTGATGCAGGAGGATTGCTTGAGCCCAGAGTTTGAGACCAACCTGGGCAACACAGAGAAAGCTCATCTGGAAAAAAAAAAAAAAAAAAAAAAAAGAGAGAACATTTTTGGGTAAAGTTTCCAGAGATTATTATTAGAAGAGGATTAACAATAATATTGTGAGATGTTCAGTAAAGTCTGGGAAGTATTTTTGAGCCAGAGCGGGGATGCTGGGTTATCAGAAAGGGGTTAACAATATTTTGGGGCATTCAGTAAGATTCGGGGTTTCTACAGGGGTATCAGCAGGAGGTATTAGGAAAATACAGGGGTTGGGAAAATATTTGAGCATCAGAGGTGTGTTCAGTAAAACTGGGCGTAGCTGGGTGTGGGGGTTCATGCCTGTAATCCCAGCACTTTGGGAGGCTGAGGCGGGAGAATCACTTGAGATCGGGAGGTTGACTCTGCAGTGAGACCTGATCACACCATTGCAGTTCAGCCTGGGTGACAGAGTAAGACTGTTTCAAAAAACAAAACAAGTAAAACTGGGGAGTCATATCAGCATTGATCAGGGTTCAGGGTTACACCTAGGGCTGGTGGCCTAGGTGTAAGAAGACACTAGGGTGTGCATGAGGGCTGGTGATGGAGGAGATGTCACAGGCATGTCTGGGTTGGGGTATCTGACCCTGCTCTCCTCCTGCCCCTCAGACGACCTTGGAGTGTACCCTGAAGCCAGGCTTGGTTTACAACAAGGTGAATCCCATCTTTCACCACTGGAGCCTGGGTGACTGCAAGTTTGGACTGACATTTCAGAGCCCTGCAGAGGCTGATGAGTTCCAGAAGAGCCTGCTGGCTGCGCTGGCCGCGCTGGGTCGAGGTGAGCAGCCCAGGTGGTGTGCACTGGGGGCTGACCTGGGAGCGGGAGGAGAAGCTGGGCTCAAGGAACTCACTCTCTGCCTCTCTCCCTGCCCCAGGCTCACTCACCCCCTCCTCCTCCTCCTCCTCCTCCTCCTCCTCTCCTTCCCAGGATACTGCAGAGACCCCCTGCCCTCTGACGGTGAGTGTCCAGGATGCCTCTCTGCTGGGAGGGCAGGGGTGTTGATTCTATGAACATTCTTGAGCACCTACTGTATAGCAGGCACCATGCCACATGCTGGGGACACAAAATTGGGCCCGAACTATGAGCGTCAATTCAATCCCAGTTATTCTAGTCTTTCTGCCCTGTCATGATTCACACATTCATTCAAGGGTCCTTATTGTGCACCTTTTGTATACCAGACAGTGTTTTAGGCACTGGGTTACATCAGTGAACAAAAAGTTCCTTTCCTCCTGGAGCTTCTGTTCTAGTGTGGAAAGGCAGAAAATTGAAAAAATATATATATAAACAATAAAAATGAATAAATATTAAAAGTAAATGGATGAACAAATTAATGGCAACCCCATGCTTCCAGTTACTCAGGCTCTAAACCTTGGAGTCATCCCTGACTCCTCTTATCTTTTATGCGTCTCATCTCATCTGTCAGCAAATATTGGTTCCACTTTCCAAACCATCACAATCTGCCTCCAACCTGGTACCGTCCAAACTCATCTCCCAACTGGACCATCTCAGTAGCTTCTCACTGTCAACTCCTTCCCTCCCTCCCCCACACACAGCCAGAGGATCCCTACCAACGGCTGAGTCAGATCATGCCCCTCCCACACTCGGAACCCTCCCAGGGCTCCAGCTCACTCAGGTAAAGGACAAAGTCCTTACAGTGGCATATGAGATCCCATGCCATGTGGCCCTGTGTGTCTGGCCCCCTTGCTTACTCGGCTCCAGCCACACAGCCTCCTGGCTCTTACTCTAACATGGCAGGCACAGTCCTGCCCCAGCGCCTCTGGACTGGCTGTTGCCTGGAACACTCACAGATTTCCTTGTGGCTCGTTCCCTTGTTTCTTTCAGGGCTTTACACAAATATCAACTTCTCAGATAGGGCCTCCCTGAGTACTTAGATTTAAGTATTCCATTTAAAATTGCAATCTATCAATGCCCCTTGTCTAGTGCTAATTTTTTCCCATGTTCTAAAGCATTTTCCTTATTTCCTTTCTGAAAATACTATTATCTTTTTTGTTTTTGAGATAGTCTTGCACTGTCACCCAGGCTGGAGTGCAGGGACACAATCTTGGTTCACTGTAACCTCCACCTCCTAGGTTCAAGGGATTCTTCTGCCTCAGTCCCCCAAGCAGCTGGAATTACAGGTGCCCAGCTAATTTTTTGTATTTTTAGTAGAGATGGGGTTTCACTATGTTGGCCAGGCTGGTCTCAAACTCCTGACCTTGTGATCCGCCCGCTTTGGCCTCCCAAAGTGCTGGGATTACAGGCGTATTTCCCGGCCTATTTTCTTCTTATCTATTAGTTTATGGTCTA